CCGTGAATGTCTTTCCGTCTATTTCCATCCAGAAATACTTTCCGACTTGTCTCACCGTAGCCAGAACAGGAGAAGGAGGCTGCGTGTTACATCACAACCCTCTATAGTGTTAATCTCTCTGTGTGTGTCTCCCGTTTCTCTCTCCGTCTGCTCCTCTCCCACCCTACCTCCACCCTCTTTACTGCAAACTCCACAGAGATATGTGTACTCCTCTCCAAATACATACAGAGCAATCTAATTACTGCGATAACATTTCTGCTTGGCTGATTAACTGTTCTCCCCGCGCAGCTGCATTGCTTCTATATATTCCTAAGCTCCTTATTCCTCCCCAGCTGCACTTTCACGGGAGCTTTTGGCTCACACACCCCTCTCTTTCCTCCCTTTCTTCTCTGCCTCTGCTTATTCTCAGTGTCTCGTTTATTCTCCAAGGCAGATCGTCTATTTAGCCTGTTCCTTTCATTCCTTTTTTTCTCACTAACTCGTTCTTTTTCTCTTTTAACCGCTCCACCTAACTTTCATTCATTCTCCAAGACGAATAGGATATTTAGCCTGTTGTCTCACTTGCTTTAAACTAAGTGTTCTGATTATAGTGATTTAAGTTTCGAGCATCAAACCATGAGGCTTGTCCAATCGTCTTTATGAGAATTTAAAAGACATGCATACCCAAGAATATCTTGCATACTTTAATCTCCTCTGAGATGTTGCTACAGAGTAAAGAACACTGCAGAAAAAGTTACAGCAGTTTCTCTTCAACTAATTCTACTTTCTGGTACTTGTGAACAGGTAGCATTCATTTGTGAGGCTGAACACGGCTAATGCTTATGTGGAGATTACCCATCCTTCTGAGAGGTTACAACCAAGAAAAGTCAATGTAGTGAAACTTCACACAGCCATCTTTAACCGTACGTAATACACACGTAAACACACGTCAGGTCCTCCTCGTCCTCGTCCTGATGTGACTTCCTCAACACACACACACTCTCTTGTTCCTGGTTATAACCACCCACCCACCGACTCCCTGCTGAAAAAGCTTATTAAGATTGCAGGCACTGCACAGCGCCAGAGTTGTTGTCAAAATTGCAGAAAACAAAGCGCCCTTATTTCTGAAAGCGGAAGCGAAGAAATGACTTGTTGAAAGATTCACGGAGGGAAAGGGCTGCCGTCACGCTGTCTGTCTGCAGAGATGGGATGTTTAGTTGGTGGCTGCAGGAATCGAGAGAGTTCAGTAATTGTTACGTTTTTCTAATAGACCTCCCTCTCCCTCGCTCTAATTGCACAGGTCAGGTCGGTGACATCAGCACACTGGCTAGCTGTGATCTCCCTGCTACATATAGAGCCTCATTAGAGCACGGCTAACTGACCCCCCCCCCATCCCCCTTTTCCTCCACCTCCCCTACAGTAATGAGAATGACAGTAGCTGTAGCAATTACAGTCAGTCCAGTTTCTCAGCTGCAGCTTGCTTCGCAGCCCTGCGACTGGCTGGCCGTCCAAATCACGCTGTTGATTCTGAAAAGTGCCGTCGTCATCGTCAATGATTGCAGACGTGGTTTTTTCACATGGGATTCAGGAACATTGAAAGAGGGAAAAGAAGAAGAGTCGTTGTGTCTTCAAGAAATATATATTGGAATGAGTCCCGAAACGGCTTCCTTAGGAAATAGATGACAACAAAACTGTGTAAATATAATGTGAATGTATTTGGGGGTAAATCTTTTTCAGTTTTTTAGCATTTCCTCGTGCATCTCTTTTTAAAAATTGGCTTTAAATACCATATACCGTATATATTTGTAGTGCAGTGTAGCATAGTGACATGAAGAGCTGCAACAATGTCGGTTGATCGACAGAAAAATCGATGCAGCCATGTTTCCATGTTAAAAACTACACTCCAGATATTCCTTTATTACCTAGTGGTGTTACATTGCCCATAAAGAGAGGGGGAGACTTTTCTCTACATCATATAAGGGTGAATAGTGTTTGGATTTTCGTCTAACAAAACGTGACATGTAAAGACATCTCCTTGGTCGATTATAGTTTGCCTCAGCCCTCGTGTCAAATATACTCGCAGGAACTGTCTTTCCCAGAGTTCAATGCAAACACATCAGTCCAGAGTCGTCTCCTTTGAAGCTGCCTGGCTAACGGAGGTGATGCCAGTGTGAAGGCGTGAGTCTGCGGGCTAATGATGACAGCGACACACTAATAATGGTTCTCGGTAGCTCCTCTGACGGTGGGGAGTGTATTAAATGGAACACCAGCGCAGACTGACTCACTCGGACCCCCTACCTCCCCCTAATGAGAGTTTGATGGAGTGGTTGTGTAGGTAGATAATGCTCAGTTAATGAGATGTCCTATTCCCTGAGACGGTTTGCAGTTCCCTACAGAGTATGTGTGTGTGTTGTATTGATGTATATTGCTGTCTGAGTGTGTGTGGCTGCCTACCTGCGTTACTGAGCAATATACAGATTTATAGTGTGTGAGTAACGTCGGTTTATAGAGCTGCTTTTGTAGATGTTTGTGCATTAGTTTTATAGTTCTGTCATTGATTTGTTTCCAGCTGCCATGGTGCACCCAACAGGAAATTAACTGTCACATTTCTGAAAGAGGGACGGAGCAGAAACTGTCCTAAGAATTAATAAACGAAACAAAGGATAGAGAAAGTAATGAAACAAAAAATAGTCAGAGAGAGAGAAAAGAGTGGGAGAAGATTTGGCGATGAAGAAGGGGTGAGATAATAGGAGAGCGGGGGATAACCACCTCCCCCATGGCAGGTACATGTCTCTAATTGGGAGTCCCACACCCATCCTGCACCCCCCCCCCTTACTTCCATCTTCTTCCCAGACAATGCGGTGAGAAAACGTGGCTTTCCTAATTAATGCAGATATAATGATGGGTCCAACTGTGGACCTCTGCCCCCTTTGAATGTTGATTAAGGTGTGTGTGTGTGTGTGTGTGTGTGTGTGTGTGTGTGTGTGTGTGTGTGTGTGTGTGTGTGTGTGTGTA